CTTGGTCAATTCCGTTATTGAGACTTGTATATGCTTCATGAAGTTCTCGTGCTGCATTTTTCAGCTCCATCAAGTCGTTTATATTCTTCTCTAAGCTTTTTGTCCTAGTTAGCATCTCATCTAATCTTTTTTCTAGGTTCTTAGTTTCTTTGCATTGGGTTAAACATGGTTAAACATGTTCTTTTAGCTCTGAGAAGTTTGTTATTACCCACCTTCGGAAGCCTGTGTCTGTCGATTCATCCGATTCATTCTCCATTCATCTTTGATCCCTAGCTGGTGAGGAGCTGTGATCCCTTGGAGGAGGAGAGGCGTTCTGGTTTTTGGTGTTTTCCTCTTTTTGCGCTGGTTTCTTTCCATCTTAGTGGTTTTATCTACCTGTAGTATTTATAGTTGGTGACTTTTGGATGGGGTCTCTGAGTGGATGTCCTTTTTGTTGATGTTGAAGCTATTTCTTTCTGCTTCTTAGTTTTCCTTCTAACAGTCTGGCTCCTCTGCTGCAGGACTGCCGGAGGTCCACTCCAGACCCCCCTCACCTGGGGATTGCCCACGGGCGCTGCAGAACAGCAAGGGTTGCCACGGGTTTCTTCCTCTGCTATCATCGTCCCAGAAGGGTACCTGCCAGATGTTGGCCTGATCTCCCCTTTATGAGGTGTCTCTTTGGGTACACAGGGGTCGGGGAGCTGCTTGTGGAGGCAGTCTGTCCCTTATAGGAGCTCAAGTGCTGTGCTGGGAACTTCACCGTTCCGTGCAGAGCTGCTGGGCAGGTACCTTTCAGTCTGCTGCAGCTGAACTCATAACCACCTCATTCCCCAGATGCTCTGTCCTAGGAAGGTCGGCTTTATTTATAAATCCCTCTTGTGCTGCTGCCTTTTTTTATAGATGCCCTGCCCCACACGGAGTAGTCTAGTTACAGTCTGCCAGCAGAGGTGTTGCTGAGCTACCGCAGGCTCTGCCCTGCTGCTTTGTGAACTGCCTCAGTCTCAGAGGACTGCCTCAGTAGTGGGGGACGCCCATCCCCGCACTGAGCTGGATGGTCCTGGGTTCGGCTGCACTTGCTGCAAAACCAGAGCATTTCAGATTGCTTGTTTTGTGGGGGTGGTACCCGCTCAGCCAGATCCCCTGGCTCCCTGTCTTAGCCCCCTCCCTTTCAGTTGAACGGGTGGCTCTGGCACCCAGGCATTCCGAGAGCCAGCCAAAAGCGCAGCCCAGACTTGTGTGAGTTTCTGAGTGCCGACATGGCACCGGCTGAAACTGCCGTGCAGAAAACTCATGGCGCTTTTTCAGCCCAGGAATCTCCTGGTCTGTGGGCAGTGAAAACTTGTTTGGAAATGCAGTGAGCACTCACCCTCTGCGCTGCTCTCACTGGGAACTGCACTCCACAGCTGTTCCTATCTGGCCATCTTGGATCCCTCCTGTTTTTTTTTTAACCTGTATTGTGAGAATGTTAGACTTGTAGGCACCTAAGATCTTGCTCTAAGTTTCTACACCTGAAAATCTTTGAAAGAGATAAAAATTCCATATACTCCACTTCCTGTAACTCTGGCAGTTTCCAAATACTTTTACTCATGTGGAAATGCTATCATATCCAAGAGCGCCTTTAAAGCTAAGCTAAGGGTAGGCCGTTGATCTTTAGCACACTGCTTTTTCTGTTGTTTTATTCAGGGGGCTTTCTCAAGATTTATGTTCCCATTTTTCACATTTCACAACTTTCTTTGGAGCACAGGTATTTCAGGAAGATTTTAGAGCTTTTGAATAGCATTATGGACTTTTTTTGCATTAATTTTTACTTTTACAAAATTGCATCAAATATTATTTATGTTAATGACTGAGTTTTATGGGGCCCTTAATTGGAACTCTAGGTGATTGCCTCATTTGCTTCACTCTGGTTCTGGCCCTGAGAGGGGAACACAGAAGGGATGGCTGGAAGAACGAGAACAAACGACCCTCCCGGAATTTTGTCAAGCAACAGGCCAATTAATTAAGGAAAGTAGATGTTACATAGCTCGGTACAATGAACGTGCAGTAAGTGGATTGTCTCAGTAATTTAGAGAGAAACCCCCCAATAGAAGCGTAGGTAGGTGGGGACAAAAGAGAGACAACAAAGTACTACAAGTAGAGCACTTCCTTTTTCAGATTTTGCCTCACGGAATTGAGAGTTTGTTCTTATACACAAGTCTAATGCCCCCTTCCTCTTCTGCAATGGACCAGGTGGTGTATGCTGATTTAAACTTACCCAGGGACTCAGGCCCAGAAAGTTCTTCACCTTCATCTCTTCCTCGGGGTAAGTGGCTTTACTTTTCCTTTTGGCATTTGTATATCTTCCAGAATTAGATTTTTCTCTTACATTTATGGCTTTAAATCACTGCTTTAAAGATGATCAGCAGTTTTATATTAATAGGTGTTGTATGACTTGCCTGTAGGTAATGACAACTTTGAAAAATAATTGTAAGCCTCATACGTTTCTTTTTTTTCCCATTGAGTTAGCATGAAAAGCAAACATCACTTCTCTTACTGAGTCTTGGTTAAAAGACTTGGAAGAAACAATAGTTTAGGCTACCCTGGGCACACTGCCTATGGGTTCCCCTGCTCCATAAGGATTAGTATTAAAAAGAAAGAAAAAGAAGAAAGAGAGAAAGAGAGAGAGAGAGAGAGAAAGGAAAGAAGGAAAGAAAGAAGGAGGAAAGAAAAAACATTTTACATGTATGAAATAAGGAATATTTAAGACACATTGCAAACTTGCTGTGATAGTGACCTACATTATTCTAAATTCCTCTACAAAATATCAACACTGTGATTAGATCCCAGTGCATTTTCATCCATAATATTCCTTTCAGAATATGTAGTGGCTCATGCCTATAATCTCAGCACTTTGCTAGGCTGAGGCATGTGGTTCCCTTGAGTCCAGGAGTTCAAGGCCAACCTGGGCAATGTGGCAAAACCTGGTCTCTACAAACAATGAGAAAAAAAATAGCCAAGTGTGGTGGCACATGCCTGTGGTCCCAGCTACCTGGGAGGCTGAGATGGGAGGATTGCTTCAGCTCAAGAGATCAAGGCTGCAGTGAGCTGTAGCTGTGCCACTGCAGTCCAGCCTGGGTGACACAGCAAGGCTCTGTCTCAAAGTAGTAATAATAATCATGTAGGCTTAATGAGTAACATTCTCTCTCAAGAGAGGAAAACTCTCTGGAAAAAAAAAACATATTAAAGATGAAAGATTTGAACATTATTACTGCCTGATAGTTTCTAGTTTAAAAAGTGTCGCAGCTTAGAAGGAGATAAGCCACAAGATACTCGAGCGTATCAGTAATGAGCCTACTTCGAATTTGTGGAAACTGGCACTTTCCTAGGTCTCTGAAGAGTTAGGATTCTGAGTGAAAGAAGCAGGAACACCAGTATGAGGTGATACATGATGGATAGCATGGCCTGGGGATGGATGAGCAGAGACTAGACACTGAGGCAGAAAATAAGCATGAAATTATTATGACACATTATTCTTTTCTGACATCTAACTGAATTTACTGTCTTTGATAATAGTACAATCGTTTACCATTCCGATATTCATTGCATATCATGCCAAGCATCTGACTTGTACTGTCTTAAGACCGTTTAAGTTTTAAACTATTGAATTCTCAAGGTTTTAGAGAATAAAGTCTTAAGAGCCATCAATTAAGTTTCACTATAATCTTCATGTAAGCGTAGAGGAAATTGGAGTGTTCTAATAACTTAAGGAGGATTTGGTTGAGCAAACATTTTTAAAGAAAAGAGTATAAGTCTTTCTTTTCAACTCTCTTCAGATCTAGCAAATGGTGGGGGGTGGGCATTGTCAGAAAATGAATATAGAGAAAAATAATGAGACTTTTCCTAAATGTTGCTATGATCTCAAACCAATGGATGCAGAAAATTTTTCTACTTGGATTGTAATAATTATCCTATAAAATGCTATTCTGAAAGTAAACTTTAAAAAAAAGTAGAAAAAAGCCAGAGCAAAAAATGTGACTATATAGAACACTGGTCTGATATTAAAGAATTGTAAAACCACGATGGGACTCCGTTAAACGGTGCAGGCTGCGGTCACTCTGTAGCATGGTGATTGTATCTAAGGCAGTCAGCAGAACCAGAAAGAGACGTGTGAGTGATAACCACCTATCTTGCTGTTGGCCAAATGGCCACAGGTTTGGTCTGTTAGAGGACTGGATAAGGTGTTTGCAAAAATGCCTCTAGAGTTTATTCATTTGTTTAAAAATAAGCACCTACTCTGTGCCAGGCAGGCTGTGAACACAGCAGTGAACAAAAGAGAAAAAATTCTTTTCCTTCATAGAGTTTATAGAACAATGGAGGCAAACAATCAACAAAATAAACAAATAACTGAGTTGGTACAAAAGATGAGATGGTGTTAGTGTTATTGAGAAGAATTTGAAAATAGGATTTAGCTTTGGGGGAGGGTAGCATATCAAACAGAATCATCCAGGAAGGCCTTCCTGAGAAGACGACTGAGTTCAAAACCTGACAGAAGTAAGGGACAAAGCCATAAGCTCCTGAGAGAGGCGCCTTCTAGGAAGGTGACCAAAAAGTGCAAAAACCTCAAAATGAAAACATGCCTGTGACATTGCAGGAGGCGTATGCCTGCAAATCGTGCGCATGGAGGCCACGGGGGAGGGGTCAGTGAAGCAGTGGGGGCCGGCTTGAATAGGGATGTACGAGCCATTCTACACACTCAGATTTGCCTGACGGAAAGCCATTGGAAGGTTTAGAACAGTGAACTGAGATGATTTAACATACTTTTAAAAACCCAAATGCAGAATAGCCCTGGGTAGGTATTTCTAGATAACTAACGTCAGCCTGAGCTCTGCAGTGATTTATTATAACTTCATTAATTCTAATCTCATGCGGTGTCACAGAAACACAGTACAGGATTCTGCATTCCTCCCAGACAAAGAACACTCCACTCAATTCCTTAGATTTTAGCATCAATGAATAACAATTTTTGAAAGTCACCAAGTTGCCTTTTAACTATAGTTAAAAAAAAAAAAACTTTTTAGAAAAAAAGAACTGCTGTTCATTGAACAGTTACCATGTGCCAGACATGATGCCCAGCATTTAGAAGAATTGTTTCATATAAGCCTCTCTAAAGTATCACGATGTAGATATTCCGCATTTTACAGGTGAGGAGATCTGTGGATTATGAAGGTTGAACATGTTTTCCAAAATAGTATGTTGACACTCAGATTTGCTAGTTTGGAAAGTTCTTAAGGTTAGACTTTAGTAATGAAAATTACTAAATTAATTTTAGTAACAGAATTAACTTAGCAATTAAAATAGTGACTATACAGAGCTTTCTTAACTTGGCAAACAGAGTTTCAAGGAAGAAAAGGGTGAGGAAGAGAAGACAGAAAGGTGAAATAATGTACGTATGTAAAACTGGAAGAAAAGACACCCCGGTGCTGTCTTGGGCTCATTGACTGCATTTAGCCATTGTTGTATCACACTAGCTCTCATTAGAAGTTCTAGGCCAATGTTACCAAGCTTGGTTTAGTCACATTCAGATGTATGCCTGGGACCTTGGAGTCTCTACTAGGTATTCACTCTTCCCTCCCAGCTCCACTGATGCAGCATGTCCTAAATAGACCAGATGATAATTCATGTGCCACAACCCCGACTCCAATGTATCATGTTTCCTCCCATAATCTTTGATCACATCTAACTCAATCTCCTCAGGGCTGTTCTAGAGACAGCTAATTCACTTCTATAAGTGTCAGCATCCTAATGTGAGAGATTGTATTATCAGGTCGGCAAACTGGACTGCACAACTTAATCGTCAAGGGTAACATACCAGAAAAAGCAGAAATGGCTTTTATAGCCATCGTGGAGCAAAGAAACAGATTCATTATATAGTAATTGATATGACTACAGAGAAAAGCAGAGATATCTGACACTTTGTATATGCAATGTTGTAGACATAAGTGCACGTTATGTTATATTAGTTATAATATTGAAAATGATATGCGGTCGCAAAGCCTTCTTCCTTGAACGCCATACATTTGACCCACCTTGGAGATGATTGTTCTAGACAACAGAAAACCAGAGGATTCCATGTTCCAGATCAGAATTTCTGTGTATCACCAGCACCTAACACGGTGCTTGGCACAAAGTACAGCCTCAAAAAGTATCTCGACTAAATGAAGGTCTTCCTTCTGGGACAAAATGCTTTGACTTACTTCCTACATTAAGACATGTACTTCATTTTTGTATGGCACTTGACAATTTTCAAAACATCTCTCTCATTTGATTCTTATACCAATCCTTTGTATACACACATGCATAAGTGTTCCTATTTTATCAATGAGCAAACTCTGTTGGACCTGAGAGCCCATCTTGCAGGAGTGTCCTTTTAGAATGGCTGATAGAGGTTGTTTCCCGCTCCCAGCCCCCAAGCTGAATCTAATTGTCCCTATGTTATCTCAAGTACATTTTGTACCAGATGTACTCAACTGAGTTAACTGAGTTTTTGTTTTTAACTTCTCAGATGTCTGCCAGGGTTCACCTTGGCACCAATTTGCCCTGAAACTTGGCTGTGCTGGGATTATTCTTCTTGCCTTGGTTGTTACTGGGTTGAGTGTTTCAGGTAAGTGAGGTACCATCATTTGTTTCATGATACCTACTCTACTTCCATCATGTGTATTAGAGCATCTCCACAGAATTTGGCCACCTCAAACTTAGTGAAAGATCAATGAATAAAAAGTCATGAAAGGTGGCTTCGAACAGTCAGTCCGTATCCACTTCGGATACCAGCCTTTCATATTTGTCTTCTTAATTGCCCTGAGAGTCATCACGGAGTATTATACATGTGCTCCAAGAACGTTTTAGAAATATCACAAGTGTGACCAAAGATGATAACAAAGAAAAGAAAAGTTTCCAGTTATTTATGGTTCATTATGTGCCTACTGACATTCCAGATTGCAGCAGATGGTCCCTCTCCTGGAACAGGAACAATTAGACTCACTTTGAAGATGATAAAGTTTGGGTGACACTGTAGGCAATTTAAGAGCTTAAGTAATGCCCTTAGACTGACTTATCTGTCAATCTAATGCCTGTGTGAGTCCACCTGTTTTGTTTTTTCTTATTTGTTTCTGTATGCTTCCTGTAGGTCAGATCTTTTTTTTTTTTTTTTGAACCAAATTGCTATTACCTTTATCTTTTATCCATATTCAAGCTGGTTGAGATTGTTTCCCGAAGTGACAAATGTAATATATCCACCTTACCACGCATTTCAGCATTTAACCCTCTTAATGACGTTTCCTTATGTACTAGTGACATCGTTAATACGGAAATCATCAATAGAAAAATGCAGTGTGGACATTCAACAGAACATGAGTAAAACAACAGGTAATTGTGTGGTTTGAATTTCCTAAGAATAACAATTAATATTTTGTAGATACCATGTGTTACCTTAGGTACAATTCACAACAGTCCATATGGTAAGTTATTCTTATCATTCTGCTTTTCTGTGTTAGAAAACTGAGCCATAAAAACACTCAACAACTTGCTGAGGGTCACATAAGCACCAAGTGATGAGGCTGGGAATCATATGTAAGTGGTCTGACTTCTGAGCCTAAGGTCTTAACCGGCAGGGCATGCTGCCTCATGAGGAGCTCTGCTGGGATATTCCATTGTCGATAGGAAAATATGTGAAATATTTGATTATTTTAGTGAGCTATTAAGTTTGGTCTGAAGTTAAATGATAGAACTCAAAACATAGAGTGAATTTTTTACTATTATATTTCCTCATCATGTGGCCACATCAGTCTTGTTCCAGTGTATATTAATAAAAACACAGGTGACTGTTGAGTGACTGTAGTGGAATGTGAGCTGTGTGCACATTCTCACAGAAGTTTTAAGAAACCCTGAAAGTCCTTCTGGAAAATTCTATTCAATAGATCACATTAGGTAGGTAAATACATCATTTAGCAATTAGAAATGTTCTTATCTCTCATGAATTTAGTGAAAATTATTATGATTTGCTGTGCATTCTGTGAATCATTTAAAGTCAGCACTTTTTACATTAGTTTTATACTGTTGCCCATGTCGTGGAATAGGCACTGGTGATGAGTTTAGAACAGTCCATCGGACGGGATGGAGTTGAACAAGTTATTCTGTCTCTCACTGTCTTAAAATGTAAGCTGTGGCAGCATAAATTATTCTGATGGTATGTTCCTAGTTTAATATTTTGTGATTCCATTTATGCTCAAGATAACTGGTCACTAATTCCCAATTCTTGGTACCAGAATGAACAGTAGATCTTAAAAACCTCAACTTTATAACAAATTCATTGTTCTCAGTGATAATCAAAGACTTTGAGCATTTTTTTTGGTTGGGGGGGGATGGAGTCTCAATCTGTTGCCCAGGCTGGAGTGCAGTGGCACGATCTTGGCTCACTGCAAACTTCACCTCCCAGGTTCAAGCGATTCTTTTGCCTCAGCCTCCCGAGTAGCTGGGATTATAGACACCAGCCATCACATCCAGCTCATTTTTGTTTTCAGTAGAGATGGAGTTTTACTGTGTTGGCCAGGCTGGGACTTTGAGCATTTATAATGACGTGTGTATGATTGGTTGTGGTTTGTCAGAGACAGGTTAGAAATATAACATTTATTTCTTATTTCTGTTTTTTACTTTAGAGAGACTGAGTCTCTTAAACTGCCCAATATCTTGGAAGAAAGTCGGAGAGAAATGTTTGTTACTTTCTGACACTGTCAACCCTTGGAATAACAGTCTAGCTGACTGTTCCACAAAAGAATCCCGTTTGCTGCTTATTCAAGATAAGGAAGAATTGGTAAATCATGAAACAAAATACCTTAATAAAACTTAGCACTTTCTTTACACCATACTAATAGGTCTGTGCCTTAGCCCAGAGGTTTTATGCAATGGAAGTGAAGACTCTGACTTCCCAATTTGAATGACTTGTAAGCAAATAATTGAATGTAAGGTGATGAATACAGTAATATAAATAAAAATACAGAGAGAAATATCACAAAGAAGAAATAATGCTGACGAGTTAGGAAAGACTTCAGAGATGGGGTGATGCTCGAACTAGGTTTTAGGGGACCAAACTAGGAATAGATAAGCAGACTTCATATTCTTCTATTCCATTTGTAGAGACTCACACAGAAGCTGATACATGACAAAGCCATTCCATTTTGGATTGGATTAAAGTTTTCATTACCAGAGAAGAAATGGAAGTGGATAAATGACTCTTTTTTAAATTCTGATCAGTGAGTATTAGATTAACTCATTTTATTCAATTTATATCAGGTTTACACTGCAAGGTAGTAACACTGAAGATTGAGTTTTGTAGTTTTAATTTGTTTTAACAACTCTCCAGAGGTTCAGAATAGGGTAAGAAGGTGGATGATCTCAAAGTTGTTTGGAAATTTCTATAGATGAAAAGATATCAGCTCTTTATAAGAAAATACATTTTTATCTGCAATGGAGTTTTAGGGGACATGAAACAGACTAATTTATTTGGAAGGGGCAAATTAAATTAAAAATAATGTCCACCTGGAGGCCATTGGCACACAGAATGTCTTAAGTAGTGTTTTTCAAACTGTAGGAAAACCTTAGTGGGTAATAAGACCAATGTAGTGGGTCACCGCTGACATTAAAAGAAAGAAAAGATAGTAAATATCAGAGTGCAGACCCGGACACCCACACTGTGACAAATATTGCAGTATATTTGAACCACTGCTGTGAAAGGGAGAGGTGTTTGAGAGGATGTGACAAAAACATGCATAAGCCACTTGCTGTTTTCTCTTCAATGTCACATTCTTTTTTCTTGTGTAAGACAGTCAAAATAACCATCAATGTAGTATGAGGGTTGATGCAACACAAGTAAATTTCATATTTTAGCAGAATTTGTGGTTAATTTTGCAGAAAAGGGCAAGGTATTTTCTTTTCTCACAAGCAAAAGTGTGTAGGCTTTCAACCATATTTCTGTAAAGAACTTTTAATTTTTCAAAAAAGATAACACAGAGAGTTGTATTTAATGTGTCTATAAATGATTTAGTCAAATTGGAAGCATTTACACTTAAAATGTATTTTCTGCCAGTCAAAAAACGAGGTTAAAACATAAAACATAAAATGTTTAAGTTTATCTAAAGTATACTAATAATTTATGAAGTATGTAAAGTATTAAACACTGAAAGAAATGTTGGCTGAATTAGCAAATTTTGCCATTATATGAGCCACATTCCAAATACTTTATAAAGTGTAAGATTTTAAAATAAAGATTTTTTTTTTTTTTGAGACGAAGTCTCACTCTGTCACCAGGCTGGAGTGCAGTGGCACGATCTCGGCTCACTGCAACCTTCACCTCCTGGGTTCAAGTGATTCTCCTGCCTCAGCCTCCGAAGTAGCCGGGACTACAGGCATGCGCCACCACACCCCCAGTTAATTTTTTGTATTTTTAGCAGAGACAGGGTTTCATCATGTTGGCCAGGATGGTCTCAATCTCTTCACCTTGTGATCCGCCTGCCTTGGCCTCCCAAAGTGCAGGAAGTGAAAGAGGCATAAGCCACCATGCCCAGCCTAAGATGATTTAAAAATAAATATTCTGGACTAGAATAAATTTATGAAAAGCCAAACATACACATTCTATTTAAAACCATCTCTCTTGATTTTTATATTGCTTTCTGGGGGTTATTTTCTATATTTTATTTACAAATAAATGAAAGTCTATTTGCTATTAATTTATTTTTATCTTTTCATACATTTATCATTTATTAAATATAGTTTGTGTTTCTTAATTGGGTCATAATGCAAAATGTTTATTTTATTGTGGTTCACAGTATAATACAAAATATATAATGTTTGAAAACATTAAAATGTGAACATACATATGAAAGTGGATGAAGTAAATTCAGTTGAACCTCTCATTTTATTCTGAAGACAATAGTGGTCAGGTAAACCTGGAAGGCATCATGTTATAGTAGCAAGAGCACCGGTTAGACTCTGCTTTGATTTGCACTCCCTGAGCCCTGATTTTCAGGAAGGAAAAGAAAGGAGAGAATAATAATATTTTTACAGGACTATTGTGGGGGCTACAGGAGACCATGTTGGAGAGCTGGGCAGATGTCTTCTCAAGGAAGGCCTGCAAAACCAGAGGGCCTTTCAGAAAAGGAATTGTTGACTTGGCTAGATTGGCATTTAAAAAATTACCCTGACACTTGAAGAAAGAATTAAAAGGGTGGAAGAGATAAAATGTAAGGAACTTCTGCAATAGCCCAGTTGAAGGAAGTTCTTGGTTTGACTAGAAGGTTGGGCGGTAGGAAGAATCAGATAAGCAGCCCCAAGACGCTGCGTGAAGTCATTGAACAAAGGACTAAAGAAAAGCTGTGACGGAGCCCTGCACGCTGCCACCACCTCATCCACTTGGGACAAATGGAAGAGTCTTGAATTCATGCCATCTTTGCAACGTAGTCCTAATACAGCCTGTCCATTGTTTGAATTATATTGCCACCTACCACCTGCAGTGAGCCGCGGGACTCATGCTTGTTTGAAACTAATATTATGCTGCAGCAGACACCCATTGACCTCTGTTTGGAATGAGAATGGAAGGAACCTCTGACTACATGACTATGAACTGAGCCACTTTTTCTGACTGCTTCCAAATTCTATAGACGCTGAATATCCATCATGCCTTTAGATATTTATCATATTTACAGAGCACATACTTTGGAAGCATTGCCACGTTTTCATATTTTGTCTCCATGCCTCTCCTAAATATTAGTTGGTTATAGTCTAAATATTTTTAAAAACTGTGGCTCAGTGAAGTTAAGAGATTTTTTTATTGCATTTTAGGTTTGGGGGTACATGTGAAGAACATGCAAGATTGTTGCATAGGTACACACATGGCAGCGTGATTTGCTGCCTTCCTCCCCTTCACCTATATCTGGCATTTCTCCCCATGCTATCTCTCCCCAACTCCCCACCCATCCCGGCTGTCCCTCCCCTATTTCCCCCCAACAGACCCCAGTGTGTGATGCTCCCCTCCCTGTGTCCCTGTGTTCTCATTGTTCAACACCCGCCTATGAGTGAGAACATGCAGTATTTGATTTTCTGTTCTTGTGTCAGTTAGTTGAGAATGATGGTTTCCAGTTTCATCCATGTCCCTACAAAGGACACGAACTCATCATTTTTGATGGCTGCATAATATTCCATGGTATGTGGCAATTCCTCAAGGACCTAGAAATAGAAATTCTGTTTGATCCAGAAATCCCATTACTGGGTATATATCCAAAGGATTATAAATCGTTCTACTATAAGGACACATGCACACGAATATTCATTGCAGCACAGTTTACAATAGCAAAGACCTGGAAGAGATTTTTTTTTAATGTGACCTGCTAGTAGTACACTAAGAAGACTGAATTCCCAGTTTCCAAACTTTCTTTCTTTTTTGATGTAATTGTGCAGGTTCTTGTTAAAGGATTCTTTTCCAATGAAGATAAACTTGAATGTTTCAGAGATTTAC